ACATGAAATTGAGCTGTACTTGTGTAGTACTACTTTTTCAAAGGGCTACTGCTCGTCGTAGATGTCCGACAACAGCAGCCTCATCATTGAGAGGCGGCTGCTTCATAAGCAAACACCATCCAAGGTTGGTGACAGTACTACTAAGGAGGATGATAATGCTACATCAATGGGCGCTCAAACCGAGGGAATCTTGACCCGCGGGAAGGCCGCTGCTCTTGCGGCAGCAGCAACAACAACAGCAGGCGTAGGGAGTTCCCCGAGGAGTGGTATGGACAAGGATGATACTACTCCAGTGGAGGATGCTAATGGACCTGCAACTGCCGATAGCGAGAATGCTGTAATACCCAGCGTTAAAGAGCAGCAACCTATTGAAGGTAGTAACGGCGATCTGAGTTGGCTCATCATGGCATTCAGGAGGACCAGTTGTGGGTGGCGCGGCAGCTACTCTATTGCAACAGGGGAGTAGTAGAAAGGATGCTGATGAGGCGCATGATACTGCAAAAGCTCTTGGCTTGGATCCGAACCTATCTGGTAGTACTATCTGGGAACTGATATTGTTCGTGTCGTATAATATCGTCTCACTGTATTCAGCTACCTTGTTGCCTGCCTCGGCTCAACCTTTTCTTTCGGACATCCCTGTAGAGAAGCCTAGTGCATCTGAGATTAGACGGAACCTTACTCCTAGAGAGGCACGGCAATTAGCAGAGCTACAATACCATGAGCAGCTACGGGCATATCAGAGATGGGTAGCAGCTGTGGCTGATGCTATGAGGGAGAGGGCTACTGCAACTGCAGCAGCAATGGAGGAAGGAGAACATCATGAACAAGGGGTGGATGAAGGGGGTAATGGTAGTATAGATGGAAAGGAACATGTAGAGGTAGTATGGTCGTGGTCACGGGTGGGCCTGATGATAATATCAGGCAACTGAAGTGGGTAATAAGAGGCCTTCATCACATGGGGTAGCTGGTCATCATGATCATGTATCCTCACCAGTGAGGAAGATTCCAAAGACTAGTCCAGCGACTAATTCACGGGAGGTGAGAGTAATACT